CATTGTCTCGCTCTCATCTGATTTGTGTTGTTTGCTTGGTTTTGCTTTATTCTCTTTAAAATAAAAAAAAGCTTTAAAAATGTAACAGTGGAAGCTTTCTTTGACTCTGCAGACAGAGATTCCATCCATCCATCTGGTATTTTATGTTCTGCATTAATGGCATGTGAGGAAAATCAATCTGCCAGCCCTGTGCTGGGAAGAAGCCTGGAGTCTGGTGAGCAGGAAAGGAGGGAGCCTCAGGAAACCCTGAGGGATGATGGAAACCCTGAGGGAGGCGTAGTAGAAAACCACTGAACAGTTAGTTTCAAGCACAGTTTTCCAAGAGGGAAACCAAGTAAGAGGCTCAGTCAGTCCAATTAGGGGTCTATAACCTGACTGAAAATTTATCATCGAAGGTTGAGAGCATGGTGTGGGCCTGTGAAACAAGGAGTAAGAACTTTCCCGGACTTCAGAAGCATTCATCTTTTGTGGGAAAGTCTTGTGTTGTGGTGTTGAGTACAGTTATGCCCCAAATGGTGACACACTGACCCTCACCAGGGAGTTAGGGGAGGCCAGCTGCCTCTTAAGCAGTTTTATCTGCAAAGGCATTTCTGCTGACAGTGGGATCTCAAAGTCTTTGATGTCCTCTGCAGTGAAGGACTCTCAGCTTTGTTGGTAATGGACTGCAGTGAAGGACTCTCAGCCTGAAGAAGGGCTTTATTGAGTGGAGAATTAATGATTGAAGACTAAAGTGAGAAATCCTCTTCATGCTCCAGTGGCAGCATTAATACGCAGTATAAGCAGTGCGTGCCTTGAGTGTGTATGGATATTAACTTGTAAGCTCTTAACTAGTCTGAGAGCATGGGTCAAGCACAATTAGTTTTGCCTGAATGGTACCTGTGGGCATCAGCCTCTATGATAGAATCCTGGGAGATTCTAGGGTATTCCTGGCAGGGTGCTGGGAGAAGGCTTATACAAACTTCCATCCATGAACCAGGTGTGACCAGGTTGGGAAGCAGGAGAGTAGAAATGTGTGGAAAAGAGGAGGTTGCTAAATGGATTACAGACACACAGTCATGGGGCTCTGGCCCTTTAAGGAAGGTGGGTTAATGAATTGAGATTCCATGGAAATCATGGGAGTTTCTGTAAAAATTGCATAGAGTGTAAGAAGTCATGGGGCAGAGATAAAGTGTGAGAGGCAGGGCAAAGCCATGAGTGCCTGAAGAACACAAGACAAATAAAGAGTGGGGGGATGTATCTAGTGATCTTAGATGCCTCTATGAGTGTCAGGGCTGCCAAGGCCACAGCACACAGGCAGAGCTGCCAGCCTAAGATACTAGGGTCCAATTGTTTGGACAGGAACCCATGGAGTGTGGGGGGGACTCTGGGACAGAACTCGTATTGACATCTCCTGTGTGCAGTTTTATGAAAACTGAAGGGTTGGGCATGATCTGGGAAAGGGCTTAGATGGGGAAAGATTTTAGGGCTTCCATTTGAGGTTTGAAAGGATGAGTGAGGAAAGGTCTTGGGGTCTCTGGGCTGCACGGTTTCCCTTTGTAAGCTTGTAGTGGGGTTCAGTGGAAAGGGCAAAGCTGGGAACACACAGCTGTCCTCCAACACAGCTGAGAAAGGAGAGGAGCTGTTGTCTGGTGGTGGGAGTTGGGATCCGGGAGATCAAATCCACATGACGTAGAGGTACTGGTGTGTTTGTGAAGGATGATGCCCAAATAAGTGACAGACAGGGAAGAGATTGGGACTGTGGAGGGAGAGACACACTGTTCCTTGGAATCTAGGTGCTGCAATAGGAAGAGTGACCTGCAGGATGACTCATAGGAGGTGCTGCAGAGATGGAGGTCATCTACATAGTGTATAAGGTGAGAGGAGGAGTATGACAGGAAAGCAAGTCATGCACGGACCTGACTGAAATAGTGCAGCCTGTCCCGGAAATCCCTTGAGGTGGAACAGTCTGGGTTAACTGCTGGGACTGGGAAGTGTCAGGGACTGTCCAGGGAATGGGCACAGAGAGGCTGTGAGGAAGGTGCAAGGGAATAGCAAAACAAAATAATAAAAAGGCCTCTTATAAATCTAACACAGTGCTGAGTGGTACACTGGGGCCCAAAGTTAAGAGGATAAAGGGGTGGGGCACTACGGGGTGCATAGGAAGGACAATCTGATTAATAGTGCAGAAGTCTTACACCAGTCTGTGAGAGCCATCTGTCTTTTGACTTGGAAGAAATGGGGTGAACAAAAGAGAATTAACAGGAATTGAAAGATCATGTCATAGTAGCTGAGAAATAATAACCTGTAGTCCCCATTAAGCTGAGTCAGAAATGAGGTACTACTTTTGGGCAGGATGGGGGGATCAGCTTGTGAAGGATACTGAGTAGTTGTTGGAACCAAGTCAGGGATGGGGTGGAGGGGTCCCAGACTCTGGGACTCAGGTGAGGGCGAAAGATGGGAGGTTTGCTGGTGGATGGGGAGTATTTAGGGTGGCTATGAGGCATGTGTCCAGTGGCAGTCAGAGTGTAGGGAATATTGTTTAGGATCTCTCACCCTAAAAGAAGAACAGGGCAAGTTGGGGAGACTACACTGAGTGTGGGAAAAGTGTTGCCCCAATTGACAGCAGGTTGAGGGAGGTTTTAAGGATCTGGAGATTTGCCATCAAAATCCAAATAGTACCTGGTGCAAGGAGGTTGGATTTTGGAAGGAAGGCAAACTAGAAAGGCAGTACCTGCATTAGCGAGCTATGGGTGGTCTTGCTCTGCACTGTAAGAGTCACCCAGAGCTTTGCACTCAAAATTTTCAGGGAGCCTCTGCACATTTGGGGCCTAGTCAGTCCTCATTGGCCAGGCTAAGAAAGTCTGAGAAGGAGCCTGTTGGGGGGCACAGGTTCTGGGGATATGGCCCAGAGCCATCAGGGGAAGCTACTAGCTTTGGACAATCCAAATTCCAGGAGAGACTGCAACTTCCAGAACAGACCCCAATAGGAAGGAGCTGGCTGTGGGCATTCCATGGCCCAGTGAACATTCCGGAGGCATTAGGGCCATGGCCCTGGGATATCCTCGGGCAGGGAGGCCTTGGAAATTCTTTTAGAAGTAGTCTGGGTCTGTGCTCCAGCCTGAAGGGTCTTGGAGCAGAGACCACCATCTGCAGCTCAGAAATGCACTGTTTTCAAGCACTTTCATCTCTATTATTAAAAACTGAGCAGTGACAGCTACCTGTAAGACCAGCACCTTGGAGACTGAGGCAGGAGGATCACTGCAAGACTGAGACCAGCTTGGGCTGCAAAGTGAGCTCACTGTCAGCCTGAACTGCATAGTGGTGCCCTGTCTCACCAAGACAAAAAAATTAAACCTTTGATGCTAAGTTAATGAGGCCCTGATGTGAGGTCTGAGAGCAGGCATCCAGTTTCTGTAATTTTTAATGAATGTCTGGTGCTAATTAGATAATAAAATGCATCCTAAGGGTAAATTATCACTCTGGCCTTCCTGAGTCTAATTCCATTTCTCACTAAAGGGCAGGAGCCAAGTGAGCAAGCCATAAACGGAGCTGCGTTTTCATCCCTGTTCTGAGTGGTTTCCTTTAGCTTACCAAACTTAATTGCCTTATGGACTACCCTGCAAGTTCTTCTACTAAGTAAGAAACCATGTCATCTCAGCTTGCTAGGTCCTCAGATACTGCCTAAAGGTTCCAGTGAGGGGCTTCCTAGGGGAAAGCTATCCTTCCTTTGGGAAGATGTCTGGTGAAGATGTTGGCTCATAAGATTAAGACTAAGCCAGGGAGATCACTCCTTCTTGCTCTTCTGAAGAAAGACTGGAGCCAAAGATCACATTTATCTCAGTGTGGCTGAGTCAAACCCAAACTCTTGGATATATTGAGTTAGAACTCTGCACACTGATTAATTTTCCAGAGATCTTTCCAAGAGAAGTAACATGGACTCTTACAATTCTCTCTGCCCCTGTTACTTCCTGGCATGGAAACTGTGGGATGAGGGGCAAAGTCTTGGGGCCAAACTGCCATCCAGATTTTGTGCAGGGTGGAGAGTGGTCAGGTGAAGCAGGTATAGCACATGAAGAGGTATCTGGTGAGTAGGAGGCCCTCCAAGTTGGGAGGGAGCTGTAATAGTGTGGGAAGCCCTGTAATTGGCTGCTACCTTATATCAACAAGCAGCAGCCAATCTAATGTCCTCCAGAAGTTAATTTTCGACTTGGAAATTGAGTTTCTCTCCTTGCCTAATCTATTCAGCCTATCCAGGGATTATGTTAATCAGTCCACCATATGAGCCAGTGGGTGGGAGACTTGAATTACCCTATAACCCTGGGTCTTAACACTGTTACTAAGTTACCTGCTGATGTCTCAGAACCCAACTCCCTCCTCCCCCAGTACCCTATGTATTCGTTATTCTTTGTTTGACTCTGATCTTTGATCAGAATCTGATATTGTCACGAATTTTCACGTCTCTTGTCTATTCTAATCCACAATATGTCTCTAGCATCTATGTTAACTCACCCACAAGCTGGGACACCATACAAACACTGGGAAACTCCAGGGTGGAGAAGAACTGATTCTAGTTTGAGGCTGCAGCAGCAGGAGGGTATGGAAAAGCCACTCAGTGGCAGGAGATCCTGGATGTTGCTGGGGGAGAACAAGGCCAGTGGATTTATTGCCATTCTTTATTACATGAGGCCTGTTCTCAGCAATGTCAAGATAGCATTAGTCTCAGCAGATTTATCTGTCAGTGCTGCATTGGAAAAAAGCATTCTAGGGTGGCGAAATTATGGATCAAGTCTTGTGTTCCTATGGTATGTTGAATGGTCTCATCAGGTCCCTGAACAACATCAGAGCATAGGGCATGTGGGACACTTGGGACTTGGGATACCAGAGGAGGATTGAAGAGGACGAGGTGTCTGAAACTCAGAGTCGACTCCTGGATGCTAGAAGAGGTGCAGAGCCCAGGAAATGCCTTCATTCACTCACTGTCAGCCCCACCTCCTCCCAGATTCAATGACAAATCACAGCACTGCAAGGCTAATCATTTATTGAACAGGTCAAGAAAGATCTTATTTGTATACAGTTTCCATAGCTATGGGAATCAAGAGAAATCTAGAGGGAAAGCTTTGCTTCTTGGCGAATTGATCCTCGGCGATTAAGGAAGATCTGAGATGCAGGGGTGACACTTCCATATGTGAGCATGATGGTTCTCAGGCCGCTGAACTTGCATGAGGTGGCATAGAGTTGGGAAGAGATGCTGCAGAGTCCAGACAGGGAAGCACTCACTAGCACTAAAGAAGCAAAGGACAAAGAGAGCATAGAAACCACAGTGAACCCTTCTGGGATTGATTTGAGGACAAAGAGAAATTCTGATAGAAAGGAAAATGGTAACAATCTCATCTTGCACTCTACTCATGTTACTTATCAGAATAGAGAAAGAAGTAAGTCACTTTCTTTTGTTACTAATGTCATCTGAACCTTCCCTCAACTGAATCTGTGTTAAAGAGAAAGGAAGTAATTAAGAGTCCTAGGATTCTTTCTATAATCTTAGCATAAGAAGTTTTTGAAGAATGTTTGATAAACTAAGGAACAATGAAAAAGCCATAGATAGTTTTATTAAATACTTATTTTATGAAAGTTGCTAAGGCTTTCATATACATTCTCTAAATGAAGCCCCATGAAAACTCAGATGTAGGAGACAGATGAGGAAGCTCAGAGCACAAAGAGAAGGTCGACAGCTCCATTCCCAGATGAGAAATCATGGGTGTGCAGAGTTCAAAGGAAGACATTTTAGACATACACCAGCCTATGTGGAAATTGATCCACGACACAGATTCACATACATTTATGTCTGAGTTTCATGTGCAGTGTTCTATTTCCCTCTTTGTGTTTCACATTGGGTCATAATGATTTTAAGCATGTTATCCATCTCTGAGGCATTTTCCTGTACATTACAGCCCCTCAATAACTCTAATGTACACAGCGTAGTGACAATGGGCCTTGATTCTAGGTCCTCCATCTCAAAACTTCAAACTCAAAGCTTCATTACAAACTTATTTGTGTTGGGCGCAAACCCCCACTGCACTTGGAAGGCCCTGGCACCTGGTCCATACCCTCCTCGCCAGGGTCAGAGGTCACCAACCTGGAGGCTTACGTTACTTTTCACCTCTGGCCTGGAGACAGCGATCTGCAGGGATAGAAGAGAACACACTCAGACAGCAGCTCCAGGTTCTTTATCCAAGAGAAACCAAATGAGTCTTCAGGTGGGGACACAGGGGACAGATTTCCCTCCCCTGGCTCTCTCCCTTCTGTGACATGGCATAGAGGAAAAGAAAGCCCAAGAGCTGAACTTACCAACCGTAGTCATGTCTATTATGTTTCCCTCACGAATTCCATTTTTATGACAAAAGTGCTCAAACCTTCTCTTGATTTCTCCACTCACATCTGGTTCTCGGGCTGTGAGAAGAGTGACGGTGACTGCTGAGTCTTGTGTATTAATTGTCAAAGTGAATGAAAGAGCAGGGCTGCAGAGGGGCAGGCAAAGAGTTGGTGACAGCTGGGTGCTCAGACAGATGTCATGGAGGTAGGATACCACCTGTCCAAAACTGACCTCAGCAAGGGATCAGTGAGATCTCTCTCTCTACCTCTTCCTCTCTCCCCATCTCTCTCTTTCTCTATCTCTCTCTGTCTTTCTCTCTCTCTTTCTACCTCTCTCTCTTTTCGTTCTTTCTCTCTCTCTCTTTCTTTCTTTCTTTCTTTCTTTCTTTCTTTCTTTTTTTCTTGTTTCAGAAAGGATCTCACAACGTAGTTCATCCTGGCCTTGAAGTCACTATCTAGCCCTGGTAGGACTCTTGGTGAGCCTCTTGCTTCAGTCTGTAAGTGCTGGGATTATAGGCATGTACGAGCAAACGCTGTCTGAGAGATTTCATCACCTTCCCATCACCAAAACTGAGGGATTTCCAAAGGCATGTGTCTGTCTTCAGTGAGAAAGAGACCAGAATAAAGTTCGAATGACCATTTTGGGTTCCTTCCTTCATTTTCTCTCCCCATCACAGAAGTGTGAGCAGAAAAATACTCTACCATAGAGCTGCAGCAGTAGAAAGCTTCCCTCAGCCTTGAAATTCCAGAGTTCAAGTATAACATAGTTTGTATAGTCTGTATCAAGTATGCGAAAGACATTGTATCCTTCATCTGTGGAGGAAACAGAATTCAGCTCTAAACTTCTGTTCACAGGAGGAAATGGAAATGCTTCATATGTTCTATCCACAAAACAAATTCAAGAGCATAGTCTGAAGAGATGAAAATGAAGACATCAAATGCCTTCCTTCCATTTGCAGCCCCTGGACTTTGCGAAATGACTGATGTCTAAGAAAGGAGTCTGAGAGCATCAACACTAGGACAGAAACACTGCAAGAGCCCGAACCACCTCTTCTCATCTTCTGTGACACTGAGCCACTGCCCTCAGCCTCTGTCAGTGATGCATCGCTGTGCTCTGTAAAAGTGTCCTGGCCTTACATATGAGGTGCCACTTCCTGAGAAATGCACCCAGACGAGATGACAGGAAATGAGAACCTGTCTCAGCAGTTTGCTTTGTTTGTTGTTTCTGTTTTTGCTTTTGTTACAGAAGGTACCTATGACCACATAGCATCTTTATCTGATGGTGCTATGTGCTGGGTCCTGGGTTTTGCAAATACACATGAGTGTCTCTCAAATTCAGTGTATCGGTTATGAAATGACTCATACTTTATTACTAAAATAAACATTATTCAGCAATTAATGAAAACAGAAAAGACTGGGGTGTAGGCAGTTCTTTACAGATAGGAATATAACATAGAAAGTTATAATTTTTAGTGTACTTACATTCATCAGTATATACACCTTCTGCTACTCTGTTGGAAGTGACATTGAATTGCTTACATTCTCCACTTGCACTGTAAAAGAGGATGAATGGATGCTCAGGAGGTATCGCTGAGACCAGCTCCATGCCCCGTACTTCAGCCATAATTCAGTTTCTGATTCTACTCAGCTTTAAAATGTTGTTGTTGTTGCTGCTGTTGTGGGACAGAGTCTTGCTGTGTAGTTCAGGCAGGCCTTGAGCTCACTGTGTGCTTACGTTGGCCTCATACTTGCAGCCATTCCCTTGCCTCAGCCTCCTACATGCTAGCAGTACAGGCATGAACCCTCATGCCTGGCTTTGAACTTTTCCTTGCAGTTACCTAAAAGCTTCTTGTTTCCATTATTTGACTCAATTTGACACTCTAAGAACAACGTCAACAGCCGCTTCCCATCATTACTTCCACCAGTTCTCCCCTCGGTTACTTACTCTCTACTGTAGCCATTTTTTCTAGGTCACTGATGGTAAAACGGTGGCACAAACGTTGTTCGTCTTAGACTCAGATGTTTATGTATGAGTTGCTTTCTCTAAACTAAAATCTCAGCCATCAGGTTTAATGCAGGGTTTGTACTTTGCAATGAATACAAGGTTTTAGGTTGCATTTGGCACAATCATCTCTAAAAGGCTTGCCTCACTGACTGGGCCATTAGCTGAGTGCTCACCATTTGCCAGGTTCTCAAAATAAATGCTTTACATGCAATGCCTGGCATGCTGCTAACTGAAAACCACAAAGGAGAATTGTTATCATTGCCTATTACCCAAGGAAAAGTGATAGTACACAATTATGGGGCTCCTTGGCAAACTAGTAAAAGAGAGATTCAGTTTAAGGCAAATGAATCTAAACTCCATGCTGTTAACCTATGCTATGTTGGGATATTAATTATGACTATGGCAGCTCTCTGTTCTCTGCCTTCTCTAGGACCCAATAAATTTATTTCTATAACCAGCTCTTTACTCTTAAACTGGAAAATTCTCAAGTCCATCAACTAGTCCTCAGGGTTAGTATTAGAAGAGGGGCTCTGACTCTGGATAGAGGCTCAGAACCTGTGTGTGTACGCATGCACTTGTCTATGTGTGCACATATTGTTGTGTGTGAATATGTGCTTGGCTAGGTATGAGGTCATGCCCTGGCCTGTATTTTATCTTTTACACCTAAAAAAGGTCACACTTACTGTGTCCAGTATGTAAAGAATGAGGCGGAGTCATCCACTGGTTCAATGCTTTGTATAAACACCCTCATGATACCACCTTCCTCTATTGCCTCCCTTTTGTCAGAGGCCTCTTCAATAGTATACCAATTCCCTGAAATCTGCAATGAATAAGTGAGATGGTTAGGTCAGAAGACAGGAGGGAGATACCACACTGAGAGCTTCGCATTGAACTCTGGTGCATGGGCAGCACTCATAATGGGCAGCACTCTACCTCATAATATGAATTTGAAGTTAAAACTGGGAGTAATTTGTACAACATTGGGACCCTTCCCCCTGTCCCTGCTGTGAGGTGGAGGTCCTAAGATCCGTGGTATTTTCATATGCTGCAGTTTCTCTTAGTTGAAGGTCTGAAACCACTCCTTTTGTCTCTTTAAGAGCTTCTGCCTCCCTTAGAACCCAGCTGCCTTCAGACTCTCCAAACCACCACTCAAAGTCCCAGTTGCCATGCTCTGTGACTCTACCTTTTCCAAGTCAAAGTTGCCTCTCACAGCCTCATCGCCTTCCCCTTGGGTGCACAACAGCATCAGCCCCAGACACAGCAGCTGCAGCTTCATCTTGGCAGGGGATAAAATGTCTCCCACAGCTGCCTGGATGAGCCTTTCCCCAGCAGTGGATCTCTCCTTAGCTCCTTTGGCTTTATATTCATTCTGCGTCCAGCTTGGTGGTTTATGGATTTCTACCGTTTCTCTTTCCTCTCTGTGAAACAGTTTTTCATTCACTGTTGTGAGGCTAACTATTGTTTAGACCTTTAGAAACTTGGCAAATACAACCTCTTTAAATGTGTTCAGTGACCTTACATTTCTCAAAGCACATTCACAAAATAAATAGCAAGTGCAATAAAGTTCTGGCAGGTGAAAACAGATCTAACTGTGGATCTGATTTGGAACTGAGAAGCCAATTATGTGTGACAGGAATTTGTATAACTATAGAAAGTTTGTGGAACTAGTTTCATGACTTACCTAGAGTATAGAATTAATTCAGCTATTCGCCTTCCAAAATCCTAAGAAATAAGGTATCTCTGTTGAAATACTGCTACTGAGTAGAACAATCAGAAAATACTGAAATAGTTTTTAAAATAATATCTTCAAAGTAAGGTGACTGATCTTCAGTGAATTTTAATTTCTTTGCTATTCTCTGAAATTCAGTCATTAAAGCCTTCCCTGTAAGATAAGAAATAAACAAGTACTAATCACCATGCATTAGTGCATTCTAGGGGCCCATAAAGAACAGGAGAACAAGGCATCATTCCCTTTCATCAATAACCTTCAATGAGGTAGGAAAATACCTTATATACTGAATTCTGTAAGTGTCTAAAATGACCCAGCTGAGTGGTACCAAGTTCAGACTACAGTAAGTGGGGCAATGCATGGCATCATGTAGAAAGAGCTTCAAGGCACAGGCACTGAAATCACGCAGACCTAGGCTTCATTGCCATATCTGTCATTTTGAAGCCATGAGGACAGGTTTTAATCTAATTATACCCGTATATGAGACAGTTGTAGAAATTTAGTGGAGCAGAGTAGAAAAACCTTTGCACAGCTGAAGGGCCTCACAGAATGCTTCATACTCAAAGTGAGACTTGCAGTAGGGTCTTGAATGTCAGGGGAGGGAATGGAGATGTGGAAATCATGGGGAGACAGCACTGCAGGAGTGAGCAATACTGTACATTAGGATCTTTCAGTGCCAGCCTGACTGTTGAAACTATGGTTCATTCCTGATTTAGGTTAATGGATGCTGCAACCAGAAAAAAGTTGATGTTATGGGAGGAGGTGAGCACAAAGCACTGAGTCTACCAACTGTGATTTTCTATCTGTGGCCTACTAAGCAGTCATCCCAGCCCTCTGTGTGATCATTCCTAGTTCTTGCTCAAACAATTTGCTCATCAGTGGAATTTTGACACCATTTTCACTCCAGGTATTGGAGATGAATACAGGGTTTTCTGGCCCTGAGGTGGAAACACTGAGCTTGAAAAATGGTGGCAAAGTTTATTATTCTCTCCAAGAACTCATGACAGCCTGAGAGGCACCAAGTTTTCAAAATGAATCCACTGTTCCTGGGTTATGATTTAGAGGGGAGAGTTGACTCCCTGTGCCACACACGCCAATTCCAGATCACCTCATAATCTTACAGGGCCCCACTGTAACTTTCTGCTTTGATTTTTTTTCCCTATGAGAAAGCCAATCCCTTATGAAAGTGGAAAGGACCTTCTTGTTCGTCTTGATGCTTACACAGCACCCAATATATAATATAGCCTTAGAAATGTTGGTCCAGTAAATTCTTATTTATTTGTAAATCATATTTAAAATCACTAGGGATTCTTGTTAGTAGTAGAAATCTACAAGGTCCTTTTGTAATTGGGAACATTACGCTTGGTTAGTGTTGATCATATTCCTAATTTGCATTACTGGACCACAGGAGTAGAGGGAGAGGATAATACTGAAATCTATGATCAGAAGGCCACTTTTTGGATTATCTTCTCTTGTAAACCCTGAATTGACTATTCTATACTCATTTGAAGCCAAATTCATTTTTTGTAGACAAATTAAGCACTGCCAGGACAGCCTATAAACCCTGCAAGAGCAATGGCAAAGCTGGAAAAACATCCAAGAGTTGTGAAGCTCTTCAAGAAGGGGAATGGGAAAAGAAATTCCAGGCCCTCCCTCCCCAAAAGGCAATGCTAAAGTAATATTCACTCAGGAGTGGCACTTTACCTTACAGGAATATTTCCTTCATAAATATCCAGTGCTGCATTTACATATGTGGGATAGGAGCTGTGGATTAATGATTGAAAATACTCTTACAGGTTATAGATGATCAGTAAATATTATAGTCACACAAACTATTGACTTTATTATTTGGGAGCGATATGGGATAGGATGAACTTCCCTTCTTGAAAAAGCAAGAAGAAAGAAGAGGAGGCAAAGGAGGGAAAGAAGAGAGAGGGCAAATGTGGTGGCAGCAAAAGGAGAAGGTTAGAAAAAATAGGAGGAAAAGGAGGAGGACAAGAAAGCAGAGGAGCAGAAGGAGAAAGGAGGAGGCGGGAGACATTGCCAAATGTTAACATTTCCCAGATTTTATGGGAATACATGAAAATAATGTTCAGCCCATAGAAGTTGACTTGGCCAGTCTAGGGCCATACCACCGTGAAAGCACCCGACCTCGTCTGATCTCAGAAGCTAAGCAGGGTCGGGCCTGGTTGATACTTGGATGGGAGACATCGACTTGGCCATCCATCTGTAGGGAGAACATCCATTATGTAATGCAAGAAATACAGGGTACAGCATTTGTCTATAGAAGAATTCTGCATGTGGTGCAGTAATTTACTTCAGACAATGCTACTAAAAGATATTTCCAAAACATGATTCTACTTATTTCGACTGCTATTCTCTAATGCCTGCTTTGTAATGGATGTGTATCAGGTACTAAAGAGATAAAGAAGAGAGGATTGAATGATCAAGATACTCTTTCCAGTGTGGGCTAACAGAAAACATTCTATTAGACAGGAAGTGGAAAACATTACGTAGGAAACAGAGAAGTGAATACACGTTGGAAAGCGAACTTACAGGAGAAGAGAGAAAATGTGATTTGGCCTAATTAAAGACTACCCACCTGATTCCTGGTACACAGCCAGAAAAATGTTTCCTCTCTAAGCGAGAACCTCTCTACCTAAGGAATAGAAATTCACAAGGTGACGGCAGAAGACAAGATAACTTCAGCGGACTCTAGTTCTTGTACTTAAACAATAGGGAGGAAGTTGGAGCTCTTCCAGCTTTTCTTAGAAGCAAATACTCTGTGCTTCTTAATGCTACAAAGGAGTAGTACTTGAACCATTCTGCCAGCCTACATGCTCCAGTAAAGCAGATGCGTTCGCTTCTACTTTGGGAAGGTCAAGACTCTGATCGTTTAGTCTCAGCACAATAGTAGCAATGACCCAAATCTGTCACCACCCTAGAGAGCTGGTCTTTTGAAGATCTCTTCCATGGGTCCAACTGAGTGTGGCTCTCGCTCTTGAGAACACTCCAGGGATGAATTCCAGAATGTATGGAGTTATAGGTGCATCACATAAAATGCCATAAATATATACAATTTTTACCAGTTCATTAGTGATTTCTCAAAGACCACAAAAACTGTCCTCCAGACCTGAGTTGCCCATACCCCTTAAAATTTCTCAAACATTTATGAGCATACCATTGACAGCAGACTCCAAACTGTTATACTATCAGTAAAGTTACATGAAGTAGTTTTACATTTCAGGCCTGAGACTTCAAAAAATTTGAAACTGGAAATAAAAAAAGGAAAAACTGAGAGAAAGAAACAAAGAGAAAGAACATAAAAGGACATTTTGTCAAAGTCAGATTTGCTGAAGGAACTCCAATCATAGAATTATGGGTGTGTTCACTCACAAACATAGTGTTAATGGATATATATAGATAGTTGTAACCTATATTTTAACAAAAACCTCATAACTGTCCCCGGAGGCAAGAGAAACATCAAAGGTAACTCTAAGAGCAGAACAGGATGTTTGCCCAATAAAAACTTGCTTGTTAGCCCCACCTGAACCTTGTTCTTCCCAAGACGCCACAATCCTGTTCTGTAGGGCACCGCAAACCCCACCCCGTTGCATTGTGAGACCAGCAGCTGTTTGAAGTTTTACAGGATAAGAACCTTGCCCTTTAGTTTTTAGACATGCAGTCTTCCATATTGGATACAGGCCTGTGCTTTAATAAATAATTTTTGTTTCCAAATTATTTTCTCTGGCCCCTTCATACCTCAGGAAGCAGGGGGACCACCACATTTGGGGGCTCATCCGGGCTAGAATAACAGCCCACCAACTCAACTTGTAAGGAGTGATTGCTAATAGTAACTAGTAGAAGCTCCCCTTTGATTTCATTGTTTAGAAGGGTACGCCCTCAACCTTGAGAGGTTGGATCCTTGTTGGGAGTCCTTGGTCACTTTTGGAGCCTCTTGACTCATTTGGATCTTGGACCCCAGCAGGGCTGCCCTCCAATTTGATATTGGAATTTGAAGGGAAGCCTCCAGCATGTTTTGCCAGGGAAAGGTTGTTCTAATTTTTACTGGTGGTTTTGTTTTGTGTCTTTGTGTAGTCCTGTTTTGTCTCGTGATTTTTGTTCTAATTTTCCCTTCCAGGACACTTGGGCCTGAGAGATTACATGTGCTTTTGGTCACTCTGAGGGTGCTGACAGTTAAACCCCAGGAGACCCTCAGACCATGCAAAGAAAATCCTAGGTTTTGTGATTCTCTCCATATTGTTCTGTTTCTTCTTGTATTTGCTAACCTTTTCTCTTGATTTCCTCCTCTGACAAGAAAACCACAGCAAGCAACAATGGGTCAGTCTGGAGCAAAAACTGCTCCCACACCCCTTAGTCTTGTCTTTAAAGAATTTCAGAGATGGGCTGAGGGTTATGGGGAGCCTATTTTCAAAGGAAGACTAATGATTTTTGCTTTTCAGGAGTGGCCTATAGGCACAAATGGCATCTGTCCCCCCCATGGAACCTTTTACATGGGCACCGCCCAGGCTCTCCACCAGTATGTGTTTGGGCCCCTTCTCACCAATACCAAATTGTTTACTTTTGTAAGACTGGTGTCGCAAGGAAGACTCCAAGGGCCTCGCTTTC